GGGGGGGGGGGCGAGTTGTTAGGTATGTGCGAGTGCATGTATGTATGGATGGCGAAAGACACCGTCAGGACAGACACGTGACGTATGATGTATGTATATATGTACCGTTGTGTGTGTGTGTGTGTATGTATGTATGTGACTGACAAAGCTAGAGGACGCTCAGTCGAAAGAGAGAGAAAGAAGGAAAGCGATCGATCGATCGGCCGACCCTTGCCCAGCACAGCATGCACACAAGCTTTGGCCAGCTGCTTTGGACTCAGTCATTCATTGACTCAAACAGCAGAGAGAACAAGGGGGGGAGGGCGCATGAAGACACTCAGCCATCCATACAGCCGTACAGCCACACATCCATATGTATATATATATGGGCACATAGGCAGGCAGACACGAACGGACGGGCGCAGGCACCAGAACAAAATCGCGTCACATTGATCAATCAACGTACGGGATCACATGGCCAATCTCTCTGGCCAGCCAGCCAGCCAGCCAGCCAGCCAGCGACGCACTCACCTCACCAACCACACACACGGACAACACACCTAGGCCCACCCCCACCCCCACACTCTCACTCACTCAGTCACTCAGTGTTGCCCTTGCTGCTGGTGGTGTTGTTGGTTGCCGGTCACTTCCTCGGGGAACCACCCCCATAGGCCACTCTCGGGCCACACTTTGCGCCCCCAGGTCCAGCCGGTCGGGTGGCGGTCCCGCACCTCCACCCAGTCGCCCCGCTGCACACTCAGCTCCACTTCTGTCCCGGCCTCGAACTCCATCGTCACCAGACGCACATCCGGCACTCCCTCTTGCCTCATGGTGGTCGCACCAGGAGGCTCGTGCTGCTGCTGGTGTTGGTTGTGGTGTTGGTGGCGCTGCTGCTGCTGGTGTTGCGCGCCTGAGGGTGGAGGGGCGGAGGCGGCCGCATGCAGAGCGCCCGACCGCGTCATGGCGTCGTGTGCAGAGCTGACAGAAGCCTGGCTGCTCTTCGTGGGTGGCTGCATGTGTGGCGACGGGGTGGGGGAGGGCTGGGACGGCTGTGATGGGTAGTCGGCGTAAGTCACATGGGAGCTGCCACGCCACTCAGGTGGGGGCCGCTGTGACCTTTGACCCTGAGCTTGCGCCGTGCCCATCGCGGGATGGACCGATGTCTGCAAAGGCTCAGAAAGCAGCGACTGCAGGTCCTCAGGCTGGCTCCCGCCGAAGCCCTGCGGGCCATAGGGCTGTGGCTGTGGGTGCTGAGGTGCATGCATGGGCGGCGGGGGCCTCGAAGTGGGCGTGCTCACCCCTCTGGTGCCTCTGGGCGGCCTCAAGTGGCTGAATGGCCGATCGCCTCTGGCCACCCCAAACGGCCCCCGGCCCCGCCCCCGCCCTTCAAACGGCAGGGGGAAACTCCCACCCCGCCCCTGTGGCGAGTGGTAGGGTGGCCGGCCTGGACGCTGCGGGCCACCAGGATAACGCTGCTGCTGGGGCACCTGCAGGCAGGCAGGCAGGCCACACACAACGAACGAGGCGAGGAAAATGCTCAAGGTGTCTTGGTTCTTTCTTGTGTGTGTCTAGCTTAGCTTGCCTCGTCAGGTGGTGGATGGTCGGTGGTTGGCGCGCCTCCCCCTCTGGGCATTGGCCGTGGTCGCGTTGGCGGCGGTGGGATGGCCCCGTGGGTGATGAGGGTGGCGCATCGGGTCCGCCAGTAGTCGGCGTCGCGCGTGAGCTGCTTGACGTTCTTCTCCTTCTGCACGTGCAGGCGGTGCATCCGACTCAGCGCACTCAGCAGCACGTCAGCCTCATCTTGCAACACACGCACACGATCCTGCCATCACACAGAAAAGACGGATGGATGTCGTGCCATCGACGTGCTCGTTCTTTCTTCTTTTCTCTTTCTTTCTTCTTTCTTGCCTTGTAAGTCTTGCCACATGTCTGCAGCTCTGAGATGACCCGCTGTACGTCCCCTCTCGGGACGAATGCGAAGCCGGGTCCCTCGGCGGCCCCGGGGCTGCTCATGGGGCTGCTCCCCTGGGGAGTAGTGGCCGCCGGCTCGTGCGACCCCTGGCTCGGCTCACGCGACAGGTCGCTGCCCCTCGAGGGCAGCCCACCCAGAGCTCGAGACGAAGAGGGCCCAGCCTGAGACACAGCAGGGTACACAGACGGACAGAGATGGATACATGTGGCGCAAGCGGTCAGACTCTGTCTGGTTTGGTTCGCTCACCGGTGCAGGTCTGGAGAGGGAGGAGGAGAATGAAGGCGGCAGCTGCACCGCCCGCCACATCCGGCCGGCCTCTTCCCCTCCCCCCGGCTCGCCGCCACCAGCACCAGCACCAGCACCAGCAGTAGCCGCTGGTACCATCACAAATGTGTCGATGGCGCTGAGCGGGTCTCCCTCCAAATGCCTCTCGCCTTCCGGGTCGGTCCACACAACTCGCGAGAGGCCCTTCATGCCTCGCATCTGCCGCTGGCCACGACCGCCCCGGCGGCCGCCACGCCATCCGCCGCGCGACCCGCCCACGTCTGATAGTGTGGCGGGGAACAGGTGTTCTGGAAGTCGGCCTGGGCCGCGCCAGTCATCGGCTTCGAACGGGCTGCTCGCAGGGCCGCCACTTGCAGAGGGTGTGGGGGGTAGGTTGGGACTGTGTGGGCTGCTGCTGGCGCGCACTGGGCCCGGGAGGAAGGGCGACTGGAACAGCTGTTCATGAGGGGACGATGAAGGATGGAACGACTGGCTGCCTGTCGACATGGGCTCATCGACGAGCGAGTCTCCGATGGGCTCGTGCGTCTCGTGGTACGGCGGCGGGGAGCGCATCTCGCGCTCGTGTGGCGGGCGGTGCTTCCACATGAAGGGCGAGTCATCTTCCCGCAGGGCCAACTCGAAGTCGTCAAAACTGGGGGGCACCGACGAGTCGGCGGCCGTGGCCGTCTGAGAGGGCGGCATGGCGGCCGGCTCGGACGAGCCGGAGAGACCCAGCTGCGAGGATCCCCAGTAACGGTACGGCATGGGACCGCCCGCACCGCCAGGCAACGGCTGAGACGAAAACGACGCCGAACTGAACACACACACACACACACACAGAAAGACCGACAAGAGCGAGAGCTGCCTGATGCGATGCGGTCGCGTGCGTGACAGTGTTGGTTGACAGTCCGACCGACCTGATCGGCGCCTCTGTGCTGCGTGATTCCTCCCGCTGCAGGACGTCGCCGACTGGCGGGGGAACCGGCGGGTGTGGGTAGGGCGCCGCCGACGTCGCCGACTGCTGCATCATGAAGTCGTCGTACGTTGGCGATGACGCGTCACGCGGGCGGACTGACCAATTAGGACAAACACACAGACCGAGAGAAACATCAATCAGAGGCCTTCACTGACATCCTTCTGTGTGTGCGTGACGCACTTACATGGTGCGATGGCGGGGTCGGACGTAAAATGAGCGGCCGATGCCGTCAGCGGTGGGCTGCCGTGTGACTGCTCGTCAGCCCCAGATCCCGAAACCACATCGCTCCCACTGCCGCGGAAGGTCATCGACCCTCCCCCGCCCTCCATGTCCCTCGCCGCCTCCCACACCTTGTACTGACCACCCTTGGGCCGCCCACCACTGGTGGACCGTCCCGATAGCGGCCGCCCGGTGTGGGCTGACTCGGCGCGTGTGAGGGTGTGCTGGCTCAGTGGCGGGACTGCACTCTGTGGGGGAGCTATGGGTCCGAAGCCGCTCCCCGGTTCGCTCGCGACTGCATCGTCGCGGAGCGGATGGATGCCGCCGCCGGATGAGTCGAAGTCCATGTGTGTCATGGAGGGCGGCGTGTGGTGTGCCTGCGTTGCGGATGACCCAAAGCAAAAGGGCAAGCAAGAGGGGCAGTGCATGGGGGGGGTGACGCAAGACAGACAAGCAGAGAGGGAGCAAAGACAGACAGACAGACAGAAGACAACAAAGGCAACAAGCAGGGAGGGAGGGAGAGATGTGATGTGTATCTGATCTGATCCGCGTGTTGTGCGTGTTATGCGTTTTGTGCATTCGTTTCTTGTACCTCGGTATCGCTCATGCGGAATGGCTTTGATTGATGCGAAGCAAAACAGACAGATGATAGATAGATCTCCCTGAATAAATCGCTGTGGCCGGGAGCGCCAGATGACCCCTCGATCGCAGCTCTCCCCTCCCCCCTCTGCCGAAAGCTCCCCTGCCCTCAACTAAATGGTCCGGTTGGCGTCATGGGACACGTGTGTCGGACGTGTGTCAGCAGGGCAGATCTCCCTTGTTTGGCGTTGCATTTCGCCAGCACATGGCTCCCGGCAGCATCCGCAGCTCCCGCCGCAATGTCTGACGGCTGTCGTTGGTTTGGTCCAGTGGCGTTTGACGTGTGGGTTAGGGTGGCATTCGCGAGACCGGATTTCGCGTGACGAATCATTCACTCATTCATTCACTCATTCATTCAATCACTCAATCAATCATTCAATCATTCTGAACGCATACACAGAAATCTGATCGACACACACGCAGTGCGGCTCACAGCAATTGGCTCACAGAACCCATCCCCTATTATTATGTGACAATTGACTGAGTGAGTGACTGAGTGAATGGATGGATGACGTCCAGCGATGAATCATGGGATGACAAGCAAGCGAACGAGCCAACAACCGCCACACCAACCAGTCAGTCATCTGAGTGACGTGCCGCTCTCTCAGTGTCGTGTGTGTGTGATACTCCCCCGACCCGCCACGGACGGCGCCCCCAGATGCACATGCCATGCCGGGAGCGCCACTGGTTGCGTTTCGAGAATGCACCACACGCTGGGGCAAAGCCCTGCTGGCAGCCTATCCACTGCCTGCAGCAGTCCGATCGGATCGCACAGCCAGAAGCAACGGCCGACCGACACCAGCCGTGCAGATCGACAGAGACCTCAGAAAGCTAGAAGGAAAGATCAAGGAAGTCTTGATACGATATGCCCCTCCTTTCGTTGCCTCTCTGCCCTTGTTGCCTTCCTTGTCGGGCGCCCGCCCCTGCAAAGCTTGCCAGTGATCACTCGCAGCACACATGGAGGGAGGGAGGGAGGGAGGTGTCGGCAAAGAAAAAGATGCTTGCCGTGAGTGGTTAACCCACCCAAAGCGTGTGGTGTCTGTCTGTGGTCAGAACACACACACATACAGGTGGGTGAGAGAGTGTCCAGAGCGCGCACCGCTATGCGACTAAAACACCATCCACCACTTCCACACGCCCCACACACAGAGCCTCCCCGTATCAGCTAGCTATGCGGCGCACGGCAGCGATCCTCTCTTATTTCTCTGCCAGCCGGCCGTCCTGGTGTGCCGGCCACGCCGTCTGTCTGCCTGTCTGCCTGTACATGTGCTCTCCTTTCCTCTCCTCTCTCCTCAATACATACACTCCTACACAAATACGGATGGATGTGGATCGATGGACCGATGGACGTGGTGTATACACAGACATATACAATACAATACAGGGGACAGACACCTTTGCATACTCACACTCTCCCTCCCTCCCTCCCTCCCTCCCCCTCTCTCTCTCCCTGGACCTTCACTGCGTTGAAACAGACAGACCTGCCGGGGCCAGTTAGTGTACACGACAGACTATGTATGTATGTATGTGTGATCACCTAAACAGAAGCCAAGAAGGGAGGGAGGGGAGTGCGGTCGGGCGATCGCGATATCGACACATGGCAAGGGCAGAGTGAATGAAGGAATGAAGGCAGACAGACAGACAGACCAAAAAGACGGACGCTGCAGATGTGTGTGCGCATTCCGTCGTCCATTCACTCATTCATTCGGTCACGACGTACGCTATGTAGGTATACGAAGGAAGGGCCCAATGCAGCCAGGCCACGCCACGCCAGGCCAGGCAGCAGTGAGTGGGCAATTAGAATCATGATATAGATGAGATGAGATGAAACTGGGACGTACGCTCTGGACGGTGGACGCACTCGATGGACGGGAGGGACATGTGTAAAGACGTATGGAGGGAGGGAGGGAGGGATGCAGATGGATGCACGCCGCGCGTCAGCCAGCTGCAAGCATGCATGTGGTGACGCGCACAGTGCCTGCCGACGGATCCATGGGATGGATGGTGGTGACACACACCCCCACACACACACCCCGACACACACAGAAACACACACAGACTCAGACACCCAAGAAAGCACACCGCACCGAACCCTCATCTCTCCGACCCACAGGCAGACAGGCATCATGCAGATCGTGCGTGCGTGAGTGCGTGCTCGACCGTGTGACATGGCCCGGCCCGGCCCCTTGCCCCGTATTACTGTACACTCGCCTCCTTCTGACTGGCTGGGGTGGCCAGGCGGCCAGACGGCCGATGCACGCACGCACCACGCACGCACACACACACACGTGCACTTCCCCCGTTGGGACGGACGGAAAGGAGCACGGCGCACCACGCACCCGCATTTCATCTCTCTGTCTCTGTCTGGCTCTCTCCAAAATGCCCCCTTCCCCCCCCCCAATTTCTCTCTCACTTTGGTTGCTCTCAGAAAGGAACAAGGTCACGTAGAAAGAAAGAAAGAAAGACTCACACGGACAGACCGAGAAAGGGCCCACAACAAAACGAGATGAAACGAAACAGGACAACACCACTCACTCCACACAAACAGGGCTATGTATGCTCTCTCTAGGCATGCTCCACTCACTCACGCTCAGCACACGACATGCAGACTAGCTAGACAGAAAGCAGTGGGGGAGGGGAGACGAGAGTGAGGTGAGTGTGTGCTATGTTTGTATCTTGTCCATGTGCAGGTTGGCCGCGAAGTGCGTGTGGATGCCCCAAGGGATGTGGTGCTTCAGCCACAGCTTCGCAACAGGACCTAAACACACAGCACAGCACAGCACAGCACAGCACACGCACCATCAAACACCCTCCGCGACCGACCCCTGGCTGTGTGGCGTGTCCCGACCGACCGACCTTTGTGGATGTACTTCGGGTGGAATATAGCGAGGTACGGCCGGCCCCTCTCCATGTCGTGCACAATACCCATCATCCAGCCGCTGGTCTCCTCGTCAAGATCTTGGTGTGCGTGTGGATGTCTGTGTGCGCGCGGGAGCGGCCGGTGGGCGATGGTGGGCTGGGACGAGAAGGCACGTCGGCCAGTATACCACGCATCGACCTTCTTGGACACCACGTCTAGCCTGACAGACACAACACATGGAGGGAGGGAGGGAGGGTGGATGGAGTGGATCGGTGGGCAGGGTGCGGTGCAGGTGGAGGTTTGTTGACTCCATTCATTCTCATTTACCTTGCGAAGCCCTGTGGTGGGCTGGCTCCCGGCCAGCCCGGTCCCCTTGTGTGACTTAGAATACAGTACAGCTGGCTGAACGGCAGCGATTCCCGACTGCAGCAGATGAGATAGATGTGACGCACAGAAAACGGACGGACGGACGGACGGACAAGTGCGGCAAGGAAGGTGATTGATACTAGTCTTAAGTAGGCGATGGATCGCGGTGCAAGCTTGGTGGTTACTTTGGGTGAGATATTGGTTGTGCGATGGACAGCCTCTCAAAGCCTGGCGTGGGCCGGTGCTCCACGACTCTCGGATGCTCCTCAGAAGACACATCGATGACCGTCCTGCACACCACACCCACACATTGGGAGAGGAGAGGTTTCTCAACGTCTGTCTCGGCTCGCGCGGCGCATACGGTGCCCACCTGTAGAGTGTGATCTGTGGAGATGAAGTGGGGTCGGGCCAGTAGCCCTCATTTGCACCAAAGAGGCTCTCGGCGTTCCTGTTGATGGCCAGAAACTCGGGACCCCAGGCCTCGGAATAGATCACTACCCTGCACACACACACACACACACATGGATGAACACCACACACAGATGGAAGGGGGATGGATGGATGGATGGGCGACTGCCTGACGGACATTACCTTCCCTCGTCGTCTTCAAATCCTGACAGGTGGATAGGGAAGCCGACCTCACCCACATCGACCACACGCGGCGGCGTCCCTACACACACCATCCATCCATCCATCCATGGCTGTGTGTGATGTCTGTGTGTGTGTTGTGTGGCCTTGACCGACCCGCCCTCCGACCCACCTCACCTGCCTTCGGCCCTGTCGGCCTGGGCACGAGATGAAGACGCAATGGGCCAGCCAGCTTCCTGAACGACCAGATCAAACCAACACAACACATAATGTGCATGTCTGTCTGGCTGGCCGTCTGTCTGTCTGTCTGTCTGTCTGTCGTGTCGTGGCTGGCTGGCTGACTTGAGGCACTCGACGGGTCCCTTTTGGCCGAGCAGGAAGGGCAGCGGCTGCAGCTGCATGGGGGGGTCGGGCAGGATGTAATACGACTCAGTTATGCCCCAGTCGTGGGGCGCCGCCACCGCATCTGGGGAGTCGACCAACCATAATACATGTGTGTGCTGTGCTGTGCTGTGCTATGGCGTGCGTACCAGGCATTTCGTAAGGCATGACAGAGAGAAGAGTTCCGTCGTCTGCCCACTCGCGTATGGTGAGCCCCATGGGTTTGCCCATCATGGGCGCACCCACCTGCCAAGTGAAGGCCACAAAGTTGCCCCTGTCGGCCTCAACCTTCACCACAACCAATAAACACAACACACACAACAAACAGACAGACATGCAGGGACAGAGGCTCATCAGTCGCTCAGCTCCCTCCCTCACCTTTGGGTGCGCATTGCTCGCGTCCCCCTCCATCTCCATAATGCCGTCCAGCCAGTGCCACGTGCTCCTGCTGCTACGGCCAGCAGACGACGACCCAGACGACGATGAGGACGCCGATTCCGCCGCCCCGGCCACACCCACATCGCCCCCCAAGTCCATGTCAGCCGGGCCCACCGTCGAGAGGTCGTTGATCTCGAGTGCCCAGGGCAGGCCCGCCTCGTGCAGCGCCAGCAGCATGGGCGGCCCTTCCCTCCGTGGGAACAGGGCTATGTTGGTGTTGGGCGGGGCCTTGAGGCGCGCGTCCATGGCGTTTTCGGTCATGCGTTCGAGCGGCGAGGGGACGTCGCCCTGGCGGAGTCGCTCGAGGGTGCGGATGATCTGGGTGGCCCGTTTGCAGCGGGCGTGGGGGCTGTCGGGGTTGCGGTAAGTGCCGAAACATCCCTAAATGGCCAGATCCAGAAACAAACAAGAGAGATGAGATGAAGCCATTGGCGAGTGGATGGAAGGGTGGATGGATGGCTACCCTGTAGAGGAATTGGTTGGCGTTTTGTTCGTCGAGGAAGTCGGGCGTGACGACGTAGCGCGACCGCAGCCAGGCCTTGCCGTCGCGGAACGATATGGCCGTCAGGTACCCGTCGCCGTCCTGCACACACTCAGACAGACAGATAGACAGATGCGTGTGGGGCGTGGTGAGAGTGATTTGTATGTGCGTGTGTCTTCGCGTACCATCCAATGTGCTGTGGTCTGGTTGGCGCGCTCAAACAAAGCTGATGGACACACACACACACAAACACACACACACACACACACACAGAGAGAGAGAGAGAGAGAGCAAGACGACCAGAAAACATTAAAACAGAGTGCATGCCACACATGCGACTCCCTTCCCTCTCCCTCTTTCACATAGCGGTGTGCCTTGCCTCACCAGGTCCCAGCCGCAGGTATGTGCCGTTGATATCCTTGGGGATGCTCCCCTCCACCTCGTCTATCACATACTCAAACTCCTCAGGCTGCGACTTGAAGGCCGCTGCCCAGTCGTCCCTACTAAACACGCCATCGAACTTCTTGAGCTCCGCCAGCCGGGCACTGTCGTCCACCGTCGGCCTGGCGGTCTTGATCGGCGGGATGGCCAGCGGCAACACCCACGACCTCAGCATGTGGCTGATCGGGATGCGCACAGCCGCCTGGGCGACCTTCTTGGTCGTCTCCAAACGCTGATCCGTCGGCGGCTTCTGCTGAAGTCGCGTTCTCGGCTGTGTGCGCGAGTGTCGGCCGCCGCCGTGTGCGCTTGGTGGCTGGAGGAATGATGACGAGGGCCATGGAGAGGGCCGGGAGGTCTTGAGGAATCTGCCGCTGGCGTGCCGCACGGTCAGAGTGAGCTGCAGGGCGAGCAGGGTGACCACAGATAGAGACAGCATGGCGCCGTCTGGCTTGACGGACAGGGGCGTGGATGGTTGCGGTGACGCTGCTGCTCAAGGAGAGACCTTGTGTGGACAGTAACAACCCGCCACGCGGCGAGATCCGCACCGATCGGCCAATTTATGAGCTCGCAAGGCAAGAAGGGTGCTTCCTGAAACCACTGCTGCAAGAAGGGAAGAAAGCGTGACGGAGGCTTGATGATAGTGTCGGACAAACAACCGCAGCTGGGCCAAAGTGAAGGCTTTGCTCGTGTGTTCGTCGCTCGGCGATGGCTCTCTCCTCGGCCCCTTCCAAGGCCAAGAACACACCCAACGCAATAAAGCGCCTAACGAACCGAAAGCCGTTCTCCATGGCCAAGCAACAGTGTCACGGACGGTGGAAAAAGCATGTGTCACTCACTGCGTCCATCCCCAGCCCCACCCCAATGCAACGTAACCAAGCCAGGAAAGACAAAACACTTGGAGCTGGTCAAAAGGCGACGCTGCCGAGAAAGACAGCGGCAGATCTCATCTACGTCGTGGCACCCATCCGTCCGTCCCATCCATCAGATGATGTACTTGTTCATGAATTTGCGGTGGAACTCGCTGCGCACCACGTCGTTGATGAATCTGCGCGCGCACACACACAGAGAGACAATCAGAGAGAGAGAGAGAGAGAGATATGAGATCCATCCACGAGCCGGATGCCGTATCTGTGACCCACCCACCGTTTCTGTGCCTTGGGCGCGCCCTTGGCCTGGTTCTTGAAAACGACATCGTCATCCCACCTTCGCACACACATGCGCCACACCCAAGGCAGTCAATCACGGTCATCCAGTCCAGTGAGCTTTGTGTGTCCGTGTATAGGTGCAGTGAGTGAGTGTGGCTCCCTCACCCACCTGCGCTTGACTGAGACGTCCGCGCCGGTCATGAGCGGGTTGCTCCTGAGCACCTGCTCCCGACGCGCCTCCTCCTCGGCACGACCCTCTGCCTCACGCTGAGCGATGATGGCCACACCACACACATTCACACACACAACGCGAGAGACGTCGGGAAGGACGTGTGTGTGTCTGTGTGCTGGGTGTGACGGACCTTGCTTCGCTCCTCCTCCTCGCGCTCCCTTTTGATTTTCTCCAGCTCCCGGCGCAGCTCGGCCTCCTCCTCGTCATCATCGTCATCCTCCTCCTCCTCGTCGCTGTCGTTGACGTCGCCCGGCTCGTCGTCGGCATCCTGCGGAAACATGTTCGGGATCGACTCTGGCAAACACATTATGACACACACACACACAAATGCACACACACGCGCACAAATGCACACAGAGATGTGTGTGTGTGTAGGTCAGGTCACCCACCTGGCACTGCGGCGGCGGTGAGCGTGAGTGGCTTGGCGCTGGATTCCACCTCACTGGGGGCCACACGATTCCTGACAAGACAGACACCCACGCGCATAGCACACACAACACACCACCACACCAGTCAGCGGTGATTTATGACAGACACGCCGACCACCATGCGTGTGGCTCACTTACTCCGCCAGTTTCTTCGCCGCATAGTGACGGCGCTCCTTCTCCTCCAACTCAGCCTGCACCAACCACAAACACACACAGCTTTACTGAGGATGCATCGCCCTCCCCTCCTCTCCCTACCTTGAGGTCCTTGGCCTTGATCTCCTCCTCGGTGCCCTGGCCCTCCTGGCGCTGCTTCATAGTCATCTGGCCGGGAAGGTCGCGAGACGACAACTTGACACTCGCTATCGACACCCTCGTGCCACCTGACAACCACGAACAGACAGCCATGACAGACACGAGGTGAGAGTGCGCGTCGAGAGTCTTCCTCCCCTCCCTTTGTCCCTGGTCGTGCCATCTACATCTGCCTGCCCGTGTGATGCTCACCTTGTCCCTCGCCGCCGAGGGCCTGGTGGTACGTCGGTCGGTGCGCTGTCGTCATGATGCCAACTCACTCGACAAACTGATACTCCAGATGCACGAATACTGGACTTCTCTCCCCTGCTCCCTTTGCGAGCTTGGTATGCCAAGCTCGCGGAATTCAAAGTCGCTGGGGATTCTCACACCTAGCGTTGCTTGTAAGAATAGGTGGGAGAGAGTCGGGGAGAATGGTGAAGAGAGGATCTGCCGGGCGGTCAGTCCCGGATAAAGGATTAAGTCAATGCAACGTAAGGTCTGTGGATTTTGTGGAGA